AGCAGCTGCGTGGGTAACGTGATCTTTTCTGTTTACAATAAACTTGCTTTTTAGAAGGCCGAGGGCTGAGACTCTAATGCTATCTCAGAAGTCTTCTTTATTGATGATTCGTATGAAAAATTTGACTAATATGTATGATAGTCTAAAATTGACTCTCGGAACATGCTTCCTAACATGGCGCCTTCTCTACGTGTATGGGTTCGACATCTCATTCACCGTACAAACTGCCACGACTCATTCGCTCCTGCCGAAAATCATAATTCATTACATTAGTCCTGGTTGTTCGGACCCCCCGGGTTTCATTGGCATTTGAGTACACATAAATATTAGTCAGTGATATTCTAGCCAGATATAAATTAATCAGTGCACAAACAGGATTTTCATATTGGTTTAAAGTTGCAGCTGTTTCCGGAAAGAAGTATTATCATAGACAATAAGATATAAGGAATGCGAAAGGGAAGTTTGAGTCGTAATATATTATTTGCGATCGTAATATATGCAGTGCACATTACTTCCTTATTTACGTGATCATTCCAATTATACATTTAAAATGGAACATTATGTTACGTTTGTCAGTAGAGAGTTTTCTCCATCTTCCTTATCTTTACAATCTGCTTTTTCATTTTTCGGTGTATAAGTGAATCAATGGTAGAGACCAAGGTTCAAAACAACAAAATCCCACTGACGGTGGAGCAGAAGACAAAATCTTTCGGAATATGTGGTGGAATATATAGCCGAATTGAGTCTCCTATTCATTCTGTCATGAGTCTCAATTTAACTCGATACTGTTGATGCAAAATAATCTAACACTGCCAAAATCTGAATGGACCTGCACTTTAATTGTTCCCCGAATCTTGACGGAGAGATCTGAATGTATTTCAATTTCTCAGCGTTTATTTTTACCCCAGCTCAACCGGTAGCGACAATTGGAATTTCTTTCGTCTTTCATAGAATTTTTATTTTCTCCAGATATCTTAAATTGTCAGCATAGTCGTCTAGCTGACTTATCGCGTTCAATTTCAGTGGGTTATGGATTCCATGGACCTTCATAATGGTTCAAAGTAAATGCAGTTGAAAAGCAATGCTGATGCCATGACCACTACTTCATTTTGAAGGTGCATTTCAGAAACAGTCTCCCATACGTAGGGCGAGGGGGCTGATAATAGGGAGCAATGAAATATAATGACTGATAGGTGCTTGCTCTGTTGCAGAATCTCTGGAAAGTGTTCCCTTCGTCAGTATTACATCGCCACAGGTTAGCATGAGCGAGCCACCGAAGCCAGAGTCTAGAAGCGTCGAGAGCAATCAGTCTCTTGGGAGCAGTGTGGGAAAGATCATCCAAGATCTAGACCATGTCAGCAAAGATTCCGTGGTCCGCACATCGAACGTCGAATCGCAAATCAGCGGCCATGACAAGAAGGTAGGCATTTGGCTTCACAATGTATCAGTGACAGAATGAGAACGCGATTACTTTGAAAATTAAACTGCGTTAACATCTGATTTGAAAACTGCAACATATATGTTTAAGTATTTATGTGAAATGAAATTCAAATTTAGGAGACTCAATGCTTTCATAGAATATTTTGGGAAGCAAAATTCTCTACTACCACTGCGCTATTACATATAATTTTTCTCTTAATTTCTTACTTACAATTAAAAAAAAACATTATTTTTTATTGTAGCTTGAAAAGATCGATTCACATGCAGGAAATTCTAACCACTGTATTTGTGACTCAAACTAATATCTGATTCTTGGAGTTCCGAAGAAGAAGCTGCTACGTTAAATAGATTACCTTGTTCAGAAAGGTGCAAAAATTCATATATAGCTTTGTGTTTCCGATGCAAAGCCAAATACAAAGATCGTGTGCATAGACTCTTCAGCTGGTGCAGAAGAAAACCAAATTATACGAAGATTGTAAGCATGTTCATCATTCTCAGCATGTTTCGTAGGACTGACAAACGTTGTTAGCTGATGAAGGAACGTGAATTCACCTTTCCATTACATTTAAATTATTCTCTTTCGCGTATCAGATACTAGCTCAGGCGGTAGAGCAACGGGCTAAAAGAGCTGAGGCATGGGGCAAGATATTTTATTCTACCCCACAGCCTCATACCGGCTGTACTCCACTCCTCGAGAGTAAATTGGCCGGGGTTCGAGTTTGTTTACCTTACAGTCACGCCCAAGTCCACATAAGGACGTGTCGGTACAACAACGAGAAACTAATGATAAGACGACAGAAAATGAAACAAAACTACTCAATATTAAGAATGAAAATTTCCTTCAGATTCAACCCCAGCTTTATCCCAGTTGTTCGTGTTGTAGTAGTCAGAGTTTGAGCGTAACAGTCTACTATAAATCTATCCTTAGCTAGTGTAGTTTTGACCACACCGTTTCCACATCTTCAACCATGTCTCCTTATTGTCTGTGGAATGAACTCAGGAAAGTGTTGTTCTGCAAACTCAATGTGGTGGGGTTCAGTCCATACACATCCTGAGCTTTTATTCCCGTCCTCCTAATGATGCTTCTGAACCAGTAGTTCTGAAAATTCAATCCTGATTTGCAGATGATTTCTCAGTCCAACATTACAATAGGAGAAGCAGCTGTTCCATATTTTTTTTGACCGACATAATGAAAGATTATCGTTTGGTAGTAGAGTGCCCCCTCTTCTTCAGAAATTGAAATGCTAGTTAGATTACAATAGACACTATCTTCAATTCTCATTGTGCCACTGTACTCCACAAGAGCTTGCAAACATCCTTTTACTCCCTTACACGATCAGACTTCCGCAGTTTCTGAATCGTGTACTGTCAACAAAACTGACATCTTATTTGTTCTTCCAGCATATTACACGAAGTTTCCGTTGCTGGTAAGCCAGCATGTTCCCCTTTTTCAGATATTTGTGCTATGGAGCATATCAGTCTTCATTCCTGTTCAGCGAAACAGTGCCATAGCTTTGTTTCATTTCCATTGAGTGAGTCAGGCATTTTGGGGGTAAGAATATGAACTATAAGTTGTCAGACATTACCTGTTCCCTTTATCAGAGACAAAGGAGGAAATTCCTTGCAACTCTTACACAGTAAGGCTCTGAAGAAAACAATGCTGCACCAGATGTACCCTGTCCTTGACTCACAAAGCAGACAGGTTTCACTCTCAATGTACAAATTGTCAGAGGAAGTAGCCAGTAGCAAGGCCTTAAGATTGGGTGCAGCAGCTGATTTGTCAGTACTGTGGTCACAGAAATGCAGGAAGATTTTTAGATGTACATGGAGCAAAGAAAGGAAAACATAGGTAAAAATTCTGCCTTGTTTCAATACCACTACAATGTAGGTTTTCCCCTCAGATTGTTGGAGAGTCATGAGTGCAAGAAACACAAGCATCCCACTAATGTGTGTAAAATGACAGTCTTTGCACACTGCTTTTGGTATAAGACTTGGAGGTCGATCTGTAATCTATGAGACGCAATGGCGGTTTATAAGTAATGAAGCACAATAAATCAAATGTAACATCCGGTCAGGAGTTTGTGCCATGTTACAGAGATCATATGTAGTGATTCCTGAGACCCCAGTGTTAAACCTGCAACGTAGTTCTCTGGCCACACAAAACTGCTGTTAACAAGGTGTCCATCTGTGACCATCACAGTCATGATTAGGAAAACACCACGTGTGCTGTGACACATCTCACAATCTAATATCCCAGAACTTCCATCATGGAACGGGGTGTTATGAGAAAAACTTCGGACATAGCCATCAGGGCCAACACCTTTACACATGAGTATCTTGTCCATGGTAAATTCAAATGAACTTAGTTTGACTTGACAGCAGGATATAACAACGCAGGAAATCTGAATGGATTCAGTTTCGAATGCCTGCTTAGCACAGGGGCCTTTCTGACGTGGCCCCGGTTACTCTTCCCATTTCCAGATGGATTTTCTCATCTCCATATTGATTGCTGAGAGGCTATTCTTGTTTTCCACTGTTGAACATGATGTCAAATTCTCGTCTGGGCTATAATTGCTGCCTTCCTACCAAGTGCCCTGCTCATTATGACATATAATATCTAGGGTTCATTACATTAAAATTTTCTCAAGTAGGACAAGTTGCTCCTAATTCTCTCGTAGACTGCTAAAAAGTACACTGGGATGCCATATAGCATTGCATAGCATAGAATACCTGACTCCAGCTGTTTCTAAATCTTTTACAGAATTCTTACCTAACAATGACCTGGCATTCATGCATCATGTGACAATATTGTAAATCTGCATTGTACGAGCCATTAATACTACCATCATGAAACACTGACACAGGAACTTGTGGAGGGTGCAGCCCATATATCACGTAGTGTATGATCCTGAAGTTTTGAACAGATACAGATCTTCCAAATTGTGCACCTTCTGTTAAAGTGGTTTCTACTTTTTAATCCCCTATTTTAAATTAATTATTATTTAGTTAAATGACAATGAATCTCAGGTTTGCTGCATCCACATGTCACTGTAGTTCTGCCAGTAATATGGACATTCATTATAATATTGGCTAGTGGAATTCCACATAAGAAGGCCATAGTACCCACAAAACTGGATATTGATTCTAAGATGAAAGGATAGCTCACTGATAAGGATAGAGAAATAAAATTCCTGAAGAAGGAGAGGGACAGGGAGGTAGCAGCACTCAAGGGACATTTCAATGTATAAAATATTTCTCACACAAATATCTTGAGAAAGTAAAAATGTTTGCTTCTTTATGTGATAACGCATGTGACTCTCCATCACATTTATCCTCTTTGTAGCATAATGAATTCTATCTGTGACCCTAACATATGAGTTTACAAAGAGGAACGCGATCCTCATTTTAACAAGAGGGACAGGGAGGATCCATCATTTAAATTGCACCTGTTCCCCATAATATAACTATCTTCCAGCTCCCTTATAATAAACTTGAAGACTGCTAGACATTGCACTCTTGAACGTGATACCACCAAACAGACCATCATATAAATCTGAGGATGGAGTAATTTCTTGGTGACATCTTTCTTATCTTCATTACTTCATAGTCCCATGGCGATGATCCTCAGGAATGCATCATTCAGACGTCACTGTATTTGTGCCAGTAATATTACTTCGATAAGCTGATTTGTGTTTCATTACAGTCATGCAGATTTTCAAACGCATCAGTACAAACATAACAAGAAGCAATGCAACCGCAGAGTCAACTGAAGAGACTTGATGATCCTCAGGAATGCATCATTCAAACATCACTGTATTTGTGCCAGTAATATTACTTTGATAAGATGAATTTGTGTTTCATTACAGTCATGCAGATTTTGAAATGCAACAGTACAAACACAACAAGAAGCAATGCAACCGCAGAGTCAACTGAATAGACTTGAGATTGGGATAGAAATTGGTATAAACACACACACACAGATCTGCTGAAGGTAGGAAACAATTCAATTTCTACAGTCTCTTTCACACTATTTTCCTGAGAATTTTAATTTATAATCTCCTTTATAAGATACACATTTGAATTTCCTTCTAATTCAACCTCAACTTTATCCAAATGATAACCATCCCACACTTCCAATAAATTCATTTATCCGAATTATTATTACAGCAGCTGATGTACAATATTCATGAACAGTAAACAAGTTTAGGAATTAAAACAGATACCAAACCAGGACGACTTAATCAATGTAGCTTCTTGAACTCGAAGTCTGAGCACTGACATACTGTCTTTGTAATTTAATCCATTATGGTGTCAATTAATATTAATGCTTATGTACCCTGTCTTTGACTTAAAAAGCAGACAGATTTTTACCCAGATCTGGTTTGGCGTATGATCTTGAAGTATGACTGTGTCACAGGTGTGCAGAAATCACTTTAGAAGTACAAGTCACCAGTATAATATCACTTACGGAAAGAAAGGCTTAGACAAAAATTCCATTTACTATACCACTTGAGTGCTGGCTTCCCCACTAGTTGTTGCAGAATAATGAGTGCAAGAAACAAGAAATATATCACTATTTTCTGTAGGATACCATCTTTGCACATTGAGTTTGGTGAATTGCATGCAGGTCACTCTTAAATCCATGACTCACAGGGATGATTCTGCATTTATGATTCGCAATAATTCATACAGGAAAAGTGTTAAGATTTTGTGACATGCCTCCTGATTTCACGTGAAATGCCCCATGAGCCCTTATGTAGTATTCTGGCCTTAGCAAGCTGTCCTACAAAAAGCGACCATTCTGATCACCACAGTAACTCAAGACAAAGTGTTGTGTGACAAAACTCAGCCTAATCTCCAAAAATTTCCATCAGGGGGCAGAGTATTATGAAAACGATATCTGATGTAGTCATCAAGGGCCAATGCCATTCTCCCATAGCACATTCAAGTGAACTTGGTTCTACTTGACAGCAGGGCATGAATAACACAGAAAACTGAAAGGGCTCTGTTGGATATGTACAGTTTGGTATGGTGGTTTAGCGTAGGAGTATTGGTGATATGGCTCCGATTACTCTTCCAGTCTCCAGACTTTGATGACTGCTTAGCTCTGGCTTTGCTCATGTTCATATTGACTGCTGAGAGGCCATTCTTATTTGCCACTGGTGAAACATACGACATTTAAGAAGACGTCTTTCCAAGTTCTCATGTGGGCTAAGTTTGCTGCACTCACGCCCACTGCACTGTTCGCTGCTATCCACATGTCGATTTCGGATCATATCACTCAAATGTTCTAAAGTTTCAAAAGTTGCTCTTTATTTGTCACTGGCTGCTAAACAATACACCATATAGCATTGCATAGGATACCCGATTCCAGGTCTTACGAGTTTCTATAAAGGGCCATTATGAAACAATGACACGGCTTTCAGACGTCACGAGACAATATTGTAATTTTGCATTATACTACTGGCATTATAGCTAGTAATGCCATCAACAGAGACAGAGAAAATTGTGGTGGTATATGAACCTGTATTTTTGTATCAATTCAGGACTTTAGAAATATGCAACTTTTATCTAAGTGGTTCTGCATTTTCTCGCTATATTATAAATAGCTTCATTATTATTTAGTTAGATGACAATAAAACTCAGGATTGCTGCATCCACATATCACTGTAGTTCTGCCAGTAATATGAATTTACATTAATTTACAGCCATCCGGATGTTCACATTGCGACATGACTGTACACAAAAACCCAGATTTTCATGATAATATTTAGAAACCAGAGTGATGAGGGAGAAGGAAATAGAGTGACGCAGAGGCACCGAAGAGTCAACTGGAGGTAAGGATCCCTTCTCATGCTAATTTTATGGGAACTTCAACTTGTGAGCCTCTTAATGCAATGCGCATGGACATTTCTTTGGATTTAAACACCTTTTTCCTAGTATCATAATTTATATCACTGACCCAATTGTATGAGTTCGGAAAAAAGCTCAATCCTCATTCTAACAGGATTGACAGGAGGTTCCATCATTTAAAATATGCCCCTTAATCCTCAGTGTAAATCTTCACAATTTAATATAATTTTCTTCCAACAAACTTTCAATGAGCTTGCTTAATTCACAGAAGAAATTCAGTTTAGCCTATATGGGCACTATGTTAATTCAAATGTAACAGCAAATTATTTCCAGGGGTTGAGACAATTCTTTTCTGCCCTTAGAGGGCTCTGTTATGGGCTTGAAAGATTATTAGAAGTTATTATAGGTTTTTGTAAGATTGCTTGCATAAGTGCTAATGATCGGATGGCTGTCCGGAAGCGAGAGTTGAACTCAGATCCTGATGGCAAGTCTCTGAGATTGGAGGTAGATGGCCTATAAGGAATTGTCAAACTTTAGGGTTTTTGAGGGATTAACATTTTTGCGCGTCATGATAATAAATGACAATATTTGGCACTCGGATTTGAGCAGTTGGTCTCAAGAAGTCATTCGGAGCGGATGATCTGCCAGTAGAGTCGGAATGGTGTCACAACCTTCACCATATTCTGTGACTCTTCAGGTCGCATGTGTAACTTGCCTGTGTGTCGATCACTCAGTGTTAGAGTATAAATTCAGTACATTGCTTGTCAGAATTAAATTTTGTTTCACTGATTGGTAGAATGACTATGCTGATCTGAGATGTTGACATGTTTGTTCAGTTTTGCAACTATTAGTTTAACTGGACGGAATAAGAGATATTCACACTGACCACTTGTGTTACACAGGGCGCTATGAAAGTAAATTTGGATGTACAGGTAAAGAGCAACACTGTTGCAGCAAGCCTGAAAGCTCTAGTGGCTACAGGTAAGGACCACTTCACTCTATAGTGTGAATTAGGTTCTGTCATGAAGGAAGTGGCTGATGAGAATAATAAGAGCTAGTTATCAAAGTTATTCTCCCCAAAACCTAGCCGTGATCAAACAAATGACATTGTTGTCATTTATTACTTATTAAACTATACATCAATACACAAGTTACATAGAATATGACACAAATATCAGTGTTTTCAGGATAATTAAAATGATTGAAAGCAGAACACTCTGTCAATAAATTCATTTGTGAGAGAAAATGGTGAAGAAGATTTACGTATGAGGAATAAAGTAATCAAGTGTACAAGTCTTCTATAACAACAGTCCTTTGAAATGTGTGTTATGTTAACTCGTTAATTTTTTTATGTTCTTCCAGGAATGTGCTGTAGTGAATACCTGGCAACAGCTACGTTTGTTGAGGAGGCTGACAAACCTCTTTGATAGCTTCAATGGT